GCTTTCACTCCAGAAAGAAATCCTTGATGTACCGTATGGGTCTTAGTGGGGAATCTAACAAATCGAGGGCAGCCAGCCCCACCAGCTACGAGTAGCTTGCTGTTTGGGTCGCCCCAGATCGTGAACCTTGGAGTGGAATCCTAAACCCTAAACCCTAAACCCTAAACTCTAAACCCTAAACCCGGAAACGCGGACTTCCCAAAGGGAGCCTCCTCTTCGGTCATCTCCTCTATGGGCTTTTCGCCTGGGGTTTAGGGTGTAGAGGTTTAGGGTTTAGGGTTTGGGGTTTCGGGTTGGAAGGGCTTTCTGGGGTTTGGGGAATCGGGTTGCGGACTGGGGATTTGTGACGTGGAGCTTTTGGCTTTTTGGGTTCGAGGGGATTTGTGACGTGGAGCTTTTGGTTTTTTGGGGTTCGAGGTTCCGGGTGCCCTCAGCAACTAATCCCAAAAAAACGGTGTGTAATCAGTTCTTGCCGTCAGCATTCTACCCTTGTGAACAAGTCAGCCGGCTCTACAGTGCTACAGTATTGCAGATCTGGTGTCCAACGTTGTGGGTTTATGCTTTGAAGTCTGCTCATCAAGTCTAGCGATCAAGACCCAACGACACATTCTCAGCAACTGGGCGTGTTGCTTGTATGTCTGAATCTGGATCCATCTCTTGAATGAGCTGCTTCCAGGCGACTGACTGTTCGGGGGTCGCCCCACCCGAGCCCCCAAAAGCGAGAGACATATTTTCCTAGGATCCTCTTGTGGATACCTCCGAAGCTAAGGAAGGATCCCCTTGCCTGGAACACCCAAACCCAGGGGAACTCCGGAGGCGCACCTTCTGACTGAGCTGGCTCCGGGCATTTCGCCTGCGTTCGGGGCCGCAAGGTTGCAAGCCGGGTCCAACTTTCCAGGGCGTGGAGTTGGCTTTCGAAACAATGGCAGCCCTCTGCCTCGACCCACGAACCATCTTAGTATCAACACGGGAAACAATGAATGATGGGGGTATTTTACGATTGCAAATGGAATAAGAACCTCAGGCAATCGAAATTGCAACTGCCCATTGAGTTTGGTGTCGAACGTCTCCCCAGATCCCCTAGATCCGAAATCCAGAAATTTGCAAAGAACACCGAAGCACGCGGAAAAAAAACATGGACAAACAATGGGATCATCGTAGTGTAAATCTTGTTCTTGCTGATTCTATGCTCATGAGATTTATATCCCCCATGTTGTTCCCTTTGTGTCCACTGGGTTCGGTATCTGACTTCTCCGCAGGTCCAGTAGTCCAAATCCAAAAAACATACAACAACGAAGCATGTTGAACAACAACTGAAAATAGAACATCGTAGTGTAAATTTTGTTCTTGCTGATTATATGCTTCAGTTCTTCTTGGTATTCCCGTTTTGTTTCCATTGAAATCGGTGTCTGGCATCTCCTTAGCTCTAGTAGACCTGAAACCCAGATATTTGCGAAACAAACACCGAAGCCTTCGGAAGAATAACGAGCAATAATGGGAACACGGTTTAGGGTTTAGGGTTTAGGGGATACACCAGTGTATATCTTGCTCTGGCTGATTCTATGCTCATGTTGATCTCGTTTGATTCCCTTTTGTTCATTTTTCTCGCTTCCTTCTCGTTCCATGGGTCGGTCGTGGGATCTGGTTTAGACTAATTTCCAGTGCCTTTTGTGTTCCATGTTTCTTGTGTGTGGTTTTCTCACAGAGTTATCAGGCGGAGGGCCGTCTTAATCCAGCTCTACCCCTGTGAACCTGCAAGGCCATAGAGCGATTAAGCCACTGTCGCATTCGAGGCTTCGACCGCGGGGTTTGCAATTTCGGTTGATATAAGTCTCTTGCTCTGAAGCCTGAACTTATGAACCCTAAACCCCATGAAACCCAAAAGCTTGAATTCTCAAACCCGGAAAGGCCCGGAACCAGCGCCTTGGACTTCTGCTTTGCAGAAGAACCGCAGCAACCTGGGCCCCGTTCTGCTGAAAGCGTGGTAGGTCTAGAAGCATGGAAGAGGTTGGTAGAAGTGGGTGTAAGACAGTGTAAGACTTTCTACTCTAAATAACAGGATCCTCTCTGAGGTTCCACTCAATAAAGTTCATACACATCCCCGTATCTGCGCCTTTTAGGCTGGAGTGTATTCTGGTTGGGTTGGTTTGGGGCATGCACTGTGCAGCGCTTTGGCGAATGTTTAAGGCTTCGGGGCTCCAGGCTGTGCGTCTTGCAAGGGGAGGGTCAGGTCTAGATTCTGAACTCTTGACCCTGAAGGGCTGTAGCTTTCGGGCTGAACTCAACAAGACTTGAAGCCAGGGCTTCCGGTCTGAGCATCCTGCCCATGCTTCGCAGAAGCCTCCCAGCGAGTTTGGGGGGTAGGCTGATGGCTTACAGTGGGCTTACGGTTTCGGGCTTAAGTACTGCGCCGTGTGCAAGGGCTTTGGGCGGCTAGGTGTAGGGTTTCAGGTGCAACGTTGAACTCGTAGGGTTACAGACTGCAAGACTCCGGGCCACAAAGCATTGGCTTTGGCAATTCCGGGTGGGGGTTTCGGGTCCCGACATTGCAATTTCAGGGTTTGCCGAAGGGGTCTGCAAGCTCTGGCGTGGTTCATGAAGACTGTTCAGCCGACTTCCAAAGTCCCAAACCCGAAAACCAAACCCTAAACCTTAAACCCCAAACCCAAACCCGGCCTGAACGACTCCTCGGCTCTGGCACCAACAACAAAAGTGATGGCGGCGAAGGGTTGAAAAGTGCGATCTTGAATTAGGGTTTTCGGGTTTAGGCATCTTGAGTCAGGATTTAGGGTTTAGGGTTTTGCGCGTTCGGGGTTTCTGTAACATCTTACGGCTCAAGGCTGTTAAGGCTGATTTTACGGGGTGCACGGTTTCACCGTTTGGGGCTTGGCCTCGGATTCAGAGCTTGGCTCTGCGGTTTGGTGCCTTGTGGCCCTGGGGGATCCGGGAGGATGCTTCAACCATACTTCAAATTCAAAGCGTATCATGGCACCGTGACTTCCAAGGGCTTTGTTTCGAGCCGCTACAGCTGTTGCCGAAACATGCAGAGCTGTCTTGCTCTCCCTTCATAACAAGCCGTGGTTACACGGTTTACGGTTTGTCGGCTTCCAAGTACCTATGCTGACCCAGGATTTCTTGAGTCCGATTGCAGCTTCAGGGTGAAAATTGTGGGATTTGGGGTTGATAATTGACGTGACACGAGTTCGAAACGTCCAACACCGCCACGATCCTGAGACAACTGCGAAACTGAACCCGGCAGCCTGCTTCAAGGTTTTGCAAGGTTCTCCAAGACCCTAGGAGCACGAGCTCTAACCGTGGTTTTTTCTACAGACATTCACATAAATTTTCCATGGGTTTATACGCCTTGCCCCAACTGCAATACGAATCTCAGTCTTTGGCTCAAGACACACAAAATTTGATATTACCTGCAGAATCCACGAGTAGGCCGGTAGGTTCATCCCGAAACTTCAAACCTTCAACTTTAAACTACAAGCCTCATTTTTCAAGCCGGATGACATCATAACTTACGGGGTTCACAGTATGGAACGGACTAGCCTCCCATCTTCCAGAGCACCTTCGAAAACGTCTTGGAAGCATCGACGAGAAACTAGATTTAACAAGTATGTTTGGCTATGCACACCCCTGGCCATTGCTGGAACATCCTCGCTTGGTTCTTGATGGCTGGCATGTAAACCCCGGACCACATGAGCTGGTTTTTCCCAACCACTTGTCGCTGGCATGTCCGGGCCCAGGCGCAACAGAAAGCACGACCTCTGCAACACGGGGCATGCAGTCTATATTTCGGGGGACATGACAATGCCAATCGATTTACAAGCCCCGATTTGGTATTCTAATTTATCGTTTCTGGTGTTCCCCAATTATGTTTAGGTTTCAATGCACGAACCGGGCCCTGGTTGCACACTTGCAAACGTCACGAAGTGCCTCCTGCAACATGTTCAAGAAAGTCGGCCAGTGGTGCGAAGGCGCAGGCAGGACGTTGTCATAGACTTTTGGTTCTAGATGTAATGGCGAATTCCCAAAACCCCGATAAGCCAGAACTCTGCAACAAATGTTATAGTGACCTCAAAACGTGGTTGAAACCGTTGCTGCCTCCCCCACCCGGCATGTAGTCCCGGCTCAGGAAAATCTCCATGCCTGGCAGAGGCTTTACCCGAAGGGTTCCCCTTACGGGATCCTTTAACTGTTCCAACAGTACTGGTTTTGGGGTACGCCAACCTAGAGTTGAAGCTTGGTGGGCCGCGCAGAGTTTGTCCCACAAATCACATTCAGACACTTTAGGACCTATATAGGCTTCTATAGATCGTTTTGTACGGGGACCAAAACCGGTGCTGTACCCGTACTTCAGAGCAACCCTGAATGTCGAGCTCCGAGCAAAGGAGGCGCGGCCACGAAGGCCCACGTCACAAGGACAGCTGAAAGCTGAGGATGCATGCAGAGTAGCTGATGGTCTATCTCAGGAAGGCCACATGGAGAAAAGAGCGAGGCACAGCTTGCATCGTTGGGTTTGACAGCGCTGCAAGTCTCATGCTCGGCAACAACTCAGAGTTGCCACGATTCGCTTTTCATGGAACTTGAAACTAGTCATACCCTCTTTAAGACAGTTCCTAGCCTAGAGTGGGGATCGGTGAAATTTGACTTGTTACATTAACCCTTGGTTGTTGTAGTCCATCCGCCTGTGTCACGGCTGCAAGTTGAACCTTACAGTGAAAGGCCTTATGGTGTTCCAACAGATTGGAACATTAGAATAGTTGTTGCAAAGAGGGCTGCACTCATTGAAAGGACCTCCTCTGGTTGATCCCCCCAAGCGATCGCCTGATTGACTTTCTTGCTGTGATCGGAACAAACCTATGTACCCCGGCCAACACCCGACTACCCAAACCCCCAAACCCTGCACCCTAACCCCTAACCCCCAAACCCTAAACCCTAGCCCCCTAAACCCTTAACCCTATACCGGAAACGATTTCTGAAGGCGCCCGGCCTCATCTTGCTAGGCACCTGTTGAGTGCCGAGATTCTGGTCTGAGCCTGGCTGGCTTGCGAAATATGGCGAGCATCATGAATAGCCATCGGTTTTTTGGAAGAGTTCTTTCTGTTGCATTTTGTACAGGTCCTTGGCTTCATAGTACGGGCAGGATCGATAGCCAGGTGGCGGTAGCAGGCTCCGTGATTTCGGGACGCGCAGCCTGACACTGAACCGCACCTGCCTCGTGCATCCCGGCAATAACCCAAATGTCATGCCAGTGCTGCAAAGTCGTGCCCGAATTCTCAATAAGGCACTTCAGCAGTTTATCAATACTCTCAGCGCATGCGCAAGTGACCCGGTTCAGGAGTTCAAGGGACCTCTGAGGAGGGGTGCATTTAGAGCCTTGATCAGAAAACCCTGGCATCGTTACGCTACTTTTTTGAACAGGTTTAGTTCCAACGAGCAAGCACGATTGTCGCCGTGGGATGTTACATGGAGACTTCTCCTGCAGTACGAAACACATGGAAGTCCGGAGCGGGTATGTTGCAAAGAGAGCTGCAAAGACTGGGAAATAATCTATAGGGATTCCTACACTCTACCGGCTGTAAAGGTGAGAGTGAACATGTTATGAAGACAGGAACTGTATTGAAGTATAGTGACCTCAAACCTGGCTAAAACGGCTGCTGATTGTTTAGGCTCCCTACATCCCGAACACTCAGCAAAACGCTTACTAGACCCTCTACTGCTTTACATACACCGGAATTGGAACCCCCAAGCAGGATCACAAGCCACGGCCTCAGAAAGTTGAGTCGTCAGGCCTGCGGAGATAGGCAATGCCATCAGCCTACGTGCTTTGTCGGACATGCTCGAACATTTGGTGGAGATGGGGGCTATCATTCGCAGGAAGCCAAGGCAAGACTACCATTCCCGTTTTCGGGTTGGTTGGTTTGGGGGTACAGTGAAGGGTATGCACCTTCCCCCAACAAACACGAAGAGCTTCGCGGAAAGGATGGTTTCGAGAAGGAATTCTTCTCTTCGGAATGTGCAAGTTCTGCTCCTTACATGATTCATGATGACTATACATGGTGAATACATCTCATCATGCCGTCACATTTAAAATCAGGAACCGGCTATCGCCAAGTTGCAGAGATGGCTGTGTACAAGCTCCGTGTCACGATAGCATGTGGTTTTGGGGCAAATGTGGCAGGTTGCTGCCCGCCCCCAACACCTGAAGATAACAGCTATCCTGGCCCAACCGTGGCTTACGCAGACTCCTCAAACGAAGTGGCGACCCGGGCAGATGTGTGTCGAGCCCAGGCGCTGACAATCCATGTTGAACCTCCCAAACAATATCAAGCATCAGGCTCGACCCCTCTGCCCTCCATGTGCTGAGGGCTCGGCCGAGGATGAGCGCGTCCTGCATTGCGCGATCCCGCCACAAACTAATCTGGCCTAGCCCTAAACCTCCTATGTAGGGTTTAGGGTTTAGGGGTTTATAGAGTTTAGGGATTAGGTGCAGCATAACGCAGCTTCAGTCATACCTCACGTGACCGGAGCGAGACGAAGCGAGTAAAACACGCACCGTCCCCCGCCTTAGTTGAAGGAAATAACAGCAGAGCAAACCAAGATGCGAACAAACGATGCCTGTGTACGTGGTGGAAAGAAAGGCTTTGAAAAAGCTTGCAAATCTGGACATGGTGTTGCCTCCATCCTGCAAGGTAAACCAGAAGGTAGCCCAAGCGATCTGAGGTTCAACATCACGGCTAACCTGCCCAGGCCTACAACCTTCTGCCCGATCAAAGCTGTAACCGAGATTGACATGGTCGATCAAGACATCCTCAATGCGCTCTGCCTGCAGCAACTGACCCGCAAGTTCCCTCAGACTCTGCAAGGGCCGCACCCTAAACCCTAAACCCTAAAGGGCCACAGTAGCTCTAAACTCCGAGCAGAGGTTGGGGTCCTGGCAACAAAATCCCAAAGCGCGTTGCCTCGTGGAACCCTAAGAGGAAAGGAAATCCAAAACCCCCAGATCCTTGTCTGGGACCAACTCCTCCTGACAGATGCGAAGGCTCCGTATGCATGCCTGAGTTTTGAAGCCTCTCCAGGCCGGGGTAGGAGTTTTTTAATTGGGCAGTTGCACGAGCCCAGCGCTCCACTTGTCACTTCATTCGTCCAAACAGAAGGCTGCACGTGTACCCCTGCTTACCAACGCAGGGCTTCTGGTATGAATCTGTCTGCCCAAGAAACCTCCAGGAACGGATTACGCGAGGCAGTTGACTTTATATCTGTTGATGTCTTTTGTGGAGGTGGCTGTTCAAAACGGTGGTTCTACAAGAGTTTGTATAAACCGTCTTTATGGGAATGCGGTTGCCAACAGCAGTTGCTGGCAACTGTTCCCGACATTAAGCCCCGCCCTTGAAAGCTTGGATGGGGTAGAGTTTGAGGGTCCGGCGAACAAGAAATGCTGAAACTAGAACTGCCAAGGTCGGATTGCCAACTAACGTACGCCTACGACTCCTTGGCACTTTCCCCCTGGTATGTCGCCCTTCAGAAACATGACATCCTCTTCACCTGCCATTGCCTTCCGAAGTCCTAAGAGTCCTAAACCTACAGACAGGTCCTCGTCAGCTGGGATCAGCTCTTCTTCGTCGTCAGACTCCTGACGGGTTCGAAGGACTGTGTGAAGCAACATGTGCCACATCCCACCTCGGAACTGCCACTGTCCGCAACTGGAGGTGCGCCCTCCATTGACCTGGTCTCCTGCGTTCATGCGGGTCGTCTTGGATGAGGTTTTGAACAGGTCTGCTACAGTGTTGAGTTCCACGGTGCTGTGTGCCTATTAAATCTGCCGTTGAACGAAAGGTTGAATCCCAAGACTCGGATCGCCTCCGTTGCATGTTTTGGCGGTATCCCCCGTGTCTCGGAAAACTAATGCCGAAGTCCGCCTCAGACGCGTCACGGATCGGTCTGAGACAGAGGTTCAGCTCTCATGACGGCACTTCCATACCTTGCTCAAAAACCTGGCGGGGACCACCTCGAAAACATACACAAGGACCTGAACTATCCATAACGGAACAGTGATGATCATCCCTCGCGACACCCGACCCTAAACCTCAGAAAAACAACGTGCCGGGTGTCCAGTTCTTCGTTCTCCTTTTCCAATCCCTGCAGGCAGGTGTTGATAAGGGATGATAAGGGAATGCACGGGACTTCACCCTAAGCCCCTGACTTCTACGCACCTGGACCTCTGAAGCAAAAAATCCCTGAGCCCGAAGATGCTCAGCTCTTCGAGGCTGGCAAGCTTGCACGCAAGGGCGCAACACTTTACATACGATACAAAGAGTTTGAAGTCTAGACATCAGGGCTTCAGGGTTACACTCCCGGGGCTCAGAAAATTTGCGGCTCCAGGGCTTTGGGGACTCTAGTTCTTCAGTACTTGTCCTTGGGCTCTGCTTTTTCTGAGGGCCACGGAATCAAACGTCGGATCTTGAAAACGAAGAATAACTGTTTGTGGTATAATGTCGTGTTTTTGGGGGGGTAGTGAATCCGTTTGGACGGGGTGCTCGCGTAACATAATTGCTGTTTACTCACCAAGTTGGACCTTGGAAGCACCGGCAGAGTGCCACTGACTTTAACTGTGGCCCTGGTGAAGCAAGCTTGTACGCTAGTCTTGAACAAAACCTCCCCAAACCTCCTACGTCATGTCAGGCATTGATTGCTCCTAGTTCTGGCAATCACACCTACTCACGCTGCGCTACCTGCAATTGCGGCAAGAATCCCATGCAACCTTGTTCACTCAGAACTGGATGAACTGGTAGCTTGATATGAAAACAAGTTCCGTAACAGCTCGTCTGGGCCAGCTGAAGCGCGTGCACAGGTTGCCGCCGATTTTTTAGAACTCTGAAACACCAGATGGAGTGCCAAACAATCATTCGTCCTGAAAGCTTCCAGCTTTTGTGCTTTCTGTTCTGATAGGTGACTCTGCAACTCACACCCTGACGTATTGAGGCGAGCGGCTACCCTTCTTTGAGGCCTCTGAAGAAGGAGATAGAAGGAGAACATGCCGGGAGGCTTCCGGAAGCACTGCAGCAAGAAACTCTCGAGCCACAATGCCAGCCAGCGAAGCGTCCTGATGGCACACTTTCCTGCAAACTCCAAAACGAACCTCCAGCGAGCTCGTTTTCCTGAGCTTCCTGTCAGGACGTCCTCTCTGTCTTGGGTTGTTGCTTTTACCGCTAAGGCAACAGAAACTCGCTGAGTCCTAGACCCCAATAGGCGATATTACCGGCAACTCGGCAGTACCGGAGCCTGTACTCCTTTATGCACGCTTGGCCTTGCCCTCAAAATCCTGAAACACGGAACCTCTAAAACCCTAATACCTAAACGAGTCTATACTCTCAACCCAAAGCAGGAGAAAGTGAGACGGCCGCGTGCTGTTCACTCCCGCAGCTTGCGAAGCCGGGCCTGCACAACAAGACCACAATTGCCGCAACGTTTCTGGTTTGTGGCTTAGGGTTTAAGGTCTAGAGTGGTTCTAGACGATTCGAAGTTTTGGATTTGGGGCAGGTGGTATGCTACCACCTGTAAGGTATCTCAATAGCCTCGGAATGTCCGGTTTGAAGCTCAGAAGCTCTAGCTGCTAGCTTGTAACTTGCATGTGGAGGTTTTTCCTGTAAGAGACAAGAAACCTATACTAGTTTAAGGGCAACAATGCCGGTTGTTTGGGTTCAGCCTCTCAGTCGATCTTATTGCATATGGAGCTGCTTTGTGCACTCCATCCGTGCGGCATTTTATATATTAAAACCTATGCATATCCAGCGAAGCACGGACATGCTTTGTAAGGCAGAGAACACGCGAGGGGTTCAATGGGATGCCTCGGGTTTAGAGGGAAGCACTAGGGATCCGAAACCCTGAACTCTAAGTTCTAAATCCGAATCAAGCCCTGAACCCCGACTCGGAAACCGTTACATAGCCAAGTGAAGCCACCATCGGGTCTGAGTTGCCTCCAAGTCGTCGTCATCGGCCTAGGCCAAGCTCTTAGAGGGTCTTGAGCACTAACACGGAGTTCCTGAGCAGTTCGCTAGCAGTGACCAGGTTCTTGCGCCGAGCCTGAGCTGAGGTTCCTGCTGAACGAGAACCCCACATAGCCACGGCACAGACAGAGACACCCGCTATGGTAGTTAGCGGTGTTCGCAAGAACACAGTCACTCCATATACATATATATATATATATATACATATAAAAATTTGGCCCCAATGAAACCCTGTAACATGAAGCCCAAGAACACCAGCCGGCGGGAGCAGTTGGGTCTCGACAGGTGAGCTACAAGCCCTCTATCCTGTACAAGCAAGTTAAGCATCGGAGATCCTCGCTCGCATCCTTAAAAAAAAGAGACAGTGCAGCCCCGATGATAAGGCCACCACCCTCGAAGACCGTTTCCGGAACACTACAACCCTCAAGCTGGACCCAGAAAGACCGGTCCACCAACCCTGCCCGCGCGCGATTTTCTCGTCGTCAGCATCTCCCCTCACTGACCAGGCCTAACTTCGGGCTTGCATTTCCTCAGCGAAAAGTCGCTACCTTGGGTTTAGGACCGCCGACAAGCTCAACCTGGACTTAGATGACTAGCAGAGCTAGCGCTCTAGACGAGAAAATGCCCGAAACGCCCGAACCCGAGAGTAAAGAGCCTTAGGCACTGAAAATCTTAGGTTCACGGTGCTGGGATGCAAGCCTGCAGTGCCTGCCTCAAGTTCATCAGGGTTGCAAGCCCTAAAACAACGAAGAGCTAGCGTCACAGGCTCCCCAGACCCTACACCCCATAAGTTACAGGATTCAGCGGTTACTGGTGTTGTTTTGTGTTGGGGACTGAAGCTGTATATTTTTTGTGGGGGTCTCTACTGAGATATCCGTCCAAGGGGAAATCCAGCAATGCGATCCTGATCCATGAACTATCTAGACATGGCAAGCTCGAGAACGCAGACAGTCACTCTGACATATCGGGTGGAAAGCTCGCGTGAGCGTTCTTCGTGTTAGCATTATGGTGAGGCTTTATTATTGTCTACAGCAACAAACGACACGATGTGATGAATCCCTGCCTCCCCCCTTGATCACCATGCCGTCCCCCCAGCAGATTCTTGCTCTAATTAGTTCGGCTCCACACTATGCGGTCGCGCCTTCCTTGAATTCTCCACTCACTTCGTTTGGTGCTGGCGCCACGAGGTCCTGTCTGAAAAGCCAGGTGTGTCGGGAAAAGCTCGGCTCAACCAGACTAGGCTCTTAGGTTGAGGCACCGCAAACGATGGTGCCGCCTTGAAGCAAGCACCCGAAGAGCGCAAATGAGCTGGAGCAACTTCCATGGGAACCCGCGCGCTTATGGCACCTGGCCCTTGCCCTACCCATAGGCCCTAAAGTAGTTCCTTTTTGGGGTTCATATATAGAATCCTATAAGGTAATCCCAAAAAGGAACTACTATGGGGCCTATGGGTATTGCATGAAACCTGACTTTAAGTTGGGCCTGGGACAGCCGCTGGACGACCTCCGCGGCATGTTCCGCTCGAGACTTCTTGCCGGTCACCTGGCGGAGCGGACATAACTAAGCCCAGCGGGTGGTTGGTGCCCAACTGCATAACTGTAGGGAACTTCTTGGCTATTGACCAACATATATGTCATTTATACCGCCAGAGCCCAAAACTCGAAGTCCAAATGCTCGCTAGCTTTCAACAAGCCTTGACGTGCAGCTATGGATTTCCTGACTGGCAGCGCTCGCCCTCGAACCCGCGATTTCGAGAGGATCGGGGCTGAACCAGAGTTGAATGAAGGCTTAGACCTTCTAAGCCCCATCCTCCCTGAAGCCTTTTTGGCCTGATCCCATAGGCCCCATAGTAGTTCCTTTTGGGGCTTATAGGATTCTACATATGAACCCAAAAAGGAACTACTTTAGGGCCTGTGGGATTGTAGGTTGCAGTATTGCCAAGCGGTGCAAGCCTCGACTTTGACCAGCACCGCGTGCTCTCCCGATGGTGCCAGAAAGGCGGTGCTGTTCATAGCGAGCCGGTCCCTGCAAGGGCGACTTGCATAGGGCCAGTATGGTTTATATATATATATATATATATTTATATATATATATATATTTATTTATTTATCTATGTATTTATTTATTTATGTATGTATTTATGTATTTACTTATTTATATATATATATATATAGGTTCTATACATAGATATAATAGGGTTTAGGCTTGACTACCACAACCTGCATGCCGAAAGCCGCCAACCCAGCTGCACATCTACACACGCCAACTTGCAGAAATCTACAATCCCATACTAACCGTGTACCAGTATGGTTTATATATAGGTTCTATACATACATACATATATATATATATATATATATATTTAGAGTATTACATGTGTATATATGTATATATGTAGTGACAGGAGCGCTTAGGACCAAGAAGCAGAGTCTCTTTCAACTCGATCTCCGGAAACCCTGAAACTCCGCCTCTCGGAAATCGGAAGGATCGTCAGCTGCGTGCACTGAGTGAAGTTCACGCTCATGGTGCGGACGCGGCCAGAGCCATGGATTGCATCTAAGTTGCGGAGTGTTCAGGCATGTTGCAGGCTTGGGGTTGAGGCTTGGGGTTTAGGGTTTATAGGGTTTAGGGTTTAGGGGGGTTCGAGTGGTACTGTAGGGATATCATGTTTGAGTTTGCGGGTCAGCCGAGCAAGAGATGTCCTGTAATTGCTGAACCTGGCAAAACCTAACGATTCGGCTAGATTAAGTGGTGAGGGCTACGGCTTGCAGGAGGCTTAACGCCTGGCAGAACAAGCATAAATCCCAGAGCTTTTCGCCAAGACGAGTCATCGCTTCTTCAATGCTACTACACGACGCCTAGGCACCTGAGGGTGGTAAGTAGAGGGGTCCGAGCCCGAAGCCCACAAATCAGTCAGGCAATTTTCAGGCCGTTGCCTCTGCCATTCAATATTTCGATCAAGGACCTCCCCACAAAGCCCACGAACCTATGTCGGGACACACATGTGGATCTTGGTTGAGCTCGGGTTGCAGGTTGTCCTTATGATGCCCGAGCCACTGGCGATTTCTGAATTCGCAAACTTGATCTTCCACGACCACATGGCCTTCGCTCACACGGGCTGTACACGACCGTCACTAAACGCACACAAAAGTCTGAGTCTAAGCAGTTCGGATTTGTAGGATGTCTGGCTGAAGTCTTCCAGGTGTGGAGGACTTTACCTGTAGTCTCCATTGTAGTTCGGTTTGGGGGATACCTTATAAAATCCTTACTATATATTTGGTTAAACCAAAAAAAGGAACTACAATGGAGACTATAGGTACTTTTCGATTGGTACGGACGAACTTGGGATCCGATGGCTGTGGCGAGGGACACAAACTTGGCGTAGCCTGTGGGTTTTACTTCCGCCTGATTCCGGGGAACCTAATGTAGAGGCCTTATATAGTAATAACCCCCCAAAAATAATAGACGTAATCAGTTTAACTTAATGTAGGTGCCTTACTAATAGACCCCCAAAATAATATAGGTAATCATTTAGACCCTTACAGTATCTTGCAGAAACTCCTTCAGGGCCACAACATCACACAAGCCCTAGCCCTGGCCCTAGCCCCCATTACACCGTAAACACGCTTGCATCCTTGCAAATCCCAATTCCCGCGGTGGGTGGGCTGACATCGAAACCCTTTGACGCTCAAGTTCGGCCTGCCGGTTGCGCAGTTGCGTGCAGGCTTTCTCATGGTATACTACTGTACATTTCTACTACATGCATGTGCGGTCACCTAAGCCTGCAAGTGCTACAGTCGTAGGGTCACATGCGCCACTGTTCGACTCCGGGCCCCTAAACCGGGCGCTTCGTCCGCAAGCAACACCATGGCGAGGCGCTCCCTCCCCAAACGAGAGCGTGACCTTCGTCACCTGGATCAAACCGGGGCTTCAAGGGTTCAAGTGAACTCACAACCCGAAGTCCTAAGCCCTCAACTCTTGCATGACCCTATCATGGCAGTGAGCCCCAAAAAACGAAAGCATCGCGTGCAGGGTGTAAAGGATCCACGGTTTGGGGCGAGCACAGTGTAGGGGAGCCTTGCTTCAGGCTTTGACGGTACCTTAACCTACCAGAAGCTACTTGTTTGGAGGGTCCCTAAAAATCCCATATTAGGGTTTATAATAAGAACCTACAAAAAAGGTGGGTTTTGGTAGGTTAAGGTATGTTGTTACACGCCAAGCTGCAATCATCAACTCTAGAACGCTCTGGCCGTACGATGTCGTGCTTGAAGGTTTCTCACCACGAACGGGAGTCAGCCTTTACGGAGTCAGGGATCAAGCCTAGAACTGTTGGGTGAAGTTGTCAAGGTCCAGGATTTGAGGCTTATGGCTATGCTCAGGGATCTCAAACCTGAGCCACACCTGAAGCTCTGAACCCTAGTCCGTAAGCCCCAACGCCAACACCTTACTGTAAACCCGAAACATTATTTTGTCTAGAATACCTACCTACCTGCCTACCTACCCACCCACCTGCCTACCTACATACTTACCTACGTACAATACATATACATATACATATACAT